CCTCACTTTTAACTTGCGCTTAAGTCGACATATCAAGTATCGATGATTCTCTTTAAATTGTATAGTTTTCAGTTTCATCTCTCCATTGAAAAAATTGTTTCCGAAATATTTGTTTCCATCTTTTAATATTAAGACCAGTTGATAAATGCATTAAAATTAAACCAGTTGATAGTTGCATTGTAATGTGAAATTTAAGGAATGCTTAAATTAAGCAGTAATTTTTCCAAATTCTGATTGAATCAGTATAATTTGTCTTTATTTGTTAGGATAAATATTTCAACTAAAAAGATCAGTTTTTCGTTTCCTGCATTTCTTTAAATTCTATAAGTTTTGCACGCTACAAGTTTTCTATTGATCCCTATTTTAATGCAGCTATCACAATTTAATGCAGTTATCAACTGATTTTAGTATGAGTCAACTGAACGGATAAATAATGCTATGACATATACTTGCATTCTATAGCAGATATAAAGAATGTCCTAAAATATAATAGAAAATGGAGAGTTAATTTATTTCAAACAGACTGTTTACATGTTCAGAAGCTCTGGTATGAATAGTATTTCTCGTGAAATTGGATTTCATTCTATGTTCGGTCTAAGAGAATTTTGAGACTTGTGTATAATTCATTTGTTTCATTTTCATACACTCTTTTCTTCTAAAACTGTTCCAGTTTATTAATCCACTTCATTCTTTTACTTTGTGTTTTCTTTTTCATCCATTTTTATCCATAAAAATTTTGTTTAAGTTTAAAATATGTAGAACTAAACTTTTACACAAAGGCATATGGAGAGGTGAGATAAATGAATTCATTCCCACTTTTTTCATTGTGAAAGGGAATTCATTCCTTCATTTGTATCTGTTTGATTGATATGATGGGTTAGATATTTGTAAAAAAAAACGAGGACGATCGATGAGGTGACGGAGTAACGAGATTGATTGTTTGTTTTCATGAAATCAGCAATGAATTCAAGATTCTGCAAAGATAATGGGGTTATCATTCAAATATGATACGGTAAACCGATATAGCATTTCATAATATGTCTGTAAACTTAATACGAAATTAAAGGCCATATCCAATCATCTATGATCGTGATACTGTGTGGTCATGATGTGCATGGAAATAGATTTAGGAATGAATCGATCAGAGGATACGATTAGGAACCATGGGAACATTGCGATGAATCAAAATCAAAAATGATTGATATTCCGATAATTTCACTAAATTTTTATAATTTTAAACTAGGATTCATTAATGAAACCGCATATCAATGATAAGTTCATTTTTTTCAAACGTATAAATGATTCAGCATTTGCTATCGATTTGATGGATTTGTTTTTACGTGTATACGTTTCTAGAAAGTACTGATATTTCCTTTTTTTCTAGTCAAATGATTCCTCCCCCGATCATTTGTTATCGGTGATGACATAGAAGCATCTAATCGGAAGCAATAGAATAATGCTGATACTTGACAATTTTTTTAGTTGCATGATAATGTGAGAATATCTCATCTGAGCTGCCGAAAATCGACTTGCATCATGATTTTCATGTTAATAAACGATTATTTCATCTACTATAATAAATGTCAATAATTGTTGACAGAAGCAATCCTCAATCATCGGTATAGTTATCCAAATTAACGTAATAAAAATATATTGCTAACACATTCACATATAATGTGAAATGTTGAGAAAATTTTTACCGATTATATTTCCTGCACGCAACAATCATGTATCACGAAATAAGGTAACACGGAAAATTAAAGAAAGAAAGCAGCAAAATGATTAGTGAATTAATTGTAAGGTATAAAGTGATACTGATTTGAAAGAGAAAAATAAGGTGCGATATTCTATATGTTATAAATGTGACATAATGTAACAGCGTTTATTCGTTTCGTATCTGTAATCTCGTACGTGATATTTCACGTAGTGTTTATGCTAATTTCCGTATGTTTAAAGCATTACGTATAGTTTGATGAGAAGCTATTTTATTTTTAGTCTACATTTTTATGTTGATATGAAATTTTAATTTTGAAAAAAAAAGATGTGAAAAGAGGAAGAAGGTCATGAAAGTGTATCATCATAACCTGTTCATGATATTAAAGGTGTGAGAAATATGCTCTTTTCAAATGAAAAAAAGAAATGTGAATTTGAATGTGAATTATAATAGCATTATAGTATTATAACAAATAATTTGAGATTGAAAATAGTCGGCGAAAATAATTTGAAAGATAACAATTAAATTTAATTATTAATTTTGAAAATTAATAAAAGGTAGCAGCGCTATTGTCATTTTAATTAAATTTTTAATTTTAAAAATAAATAAAAGGTAGCAGTGCCGTTGTCATTTGAAATCATTATTCACTCAAAGAATAATTTCAATGATGATTACAAGTGAAAATATATTTTATTCATTAATTTTCTTTCAAAAACAATCAAATTAGCAAAATGTATTGACAAAATGAAAAAAAAACAAATTACAATTAATTAATTAATTATTTAATTAGCATATTTATAATTGAAAAGGAATTATTAAAGGCATTGTTATCAAAAAATTTTTTTGATACAATGATAATATATTCATCGTAATTTTAGCTGCTAAAAATCGATGATATATATAGATGAAATTAAATTTGTATACAATTTAAAATTTAATTATAATATTTAATACAAGAAAAAATTAAATCAATTTGAATATACTCGTTTGTTGGAAAGAGTTTTTTAAAACAATAAAAATGCTACAAACAACAGGTATGAAATTTAATGAAATAAACAATTTCATTAATTGATGAGAACTTATTAAGAGTGATATGTCTTCTTCAAATACTTCAATTGCTTCTTTAAGTCATAAACATTTTCATTTGCAACGGTAACGTTGATGATGTCAACAGCTGAAATGATAATAAAACGATAAGAACTGATAATGAAATCCCTCTCTCTCTCTCTCTCTCTCTCTCTTCTCTGAAATATAATCTCTTTATCATATAGTTATATACCATTATTATAGTTCTATATTTGCTTACATTTGTTAGTCTATTTGTGATTTTTGATTTTCAACTGTGATTAAAGATAATATGATGAAATTAAAATTGATTAAAGATAATATGACAGAATTAAATTTTAAACTTAACTTCTATCATAATTTCAAAATGATAAATCAAGTTTTGTTTGTTGTTTTATAAAATCAAATTTGGATTTAAGTCTTAATTTGAATATATTTGCATTTTTGAATTTGATTTTTTGAATTTTGAAATTTAAAATTTTGAATACACTTTTGAGATTTCGATCATTGAATTTCTATTTTTGAAAAGAATTTTAAATTTAAATGTTCTCAATTGGATATGAGCTTTATTCTAACTGAGAAAATCATAGAAGATAAAATATAGATTTCGCTAATTAATTTAGTAATTAATTTTTCCATATCTCTAGCTGTCAATTGTAACATTATCAATTTTCCCTTATTTCTTAAATTGATTATTTCCACTGAGATTTTTTCATCGTTAATTTTTTTTCTTTCTTCAGTATTTCTTGCATTATAATAGCTTTGAGGAATTTTCCACAAAAAACAAAGCTGATATCAATTAGCTTTGCTGATAATTTCTTGCTATAATATTATCACAATAATTCTTAACTGATAATTAATATTATCACAAATACGAATGAATTAGTTTTATTCGTTGTGTTATGAAATTTTCGTATATTCGGAAATCAAACGCTATTTACTTTTTTGCCAGGCGGTATTTTTGTAAAGAGAAAATATTTATGAACGAACGATGGATGTAAAGTTTGCAAGTTGAAATAAACAAACATTTTGTGATGTAAACAATCTTCTTATGATGTAAACAAATCTTCTCATTTCGTTCCTATGAATTTGTATTATTTAATTTTTCAAATTTTACAATCAAAAATATTTAGTATTTTATTTTTGCTTACTTATAACTTAATAGATTGTTTATAAGTTGAAGAATTTATAAACAATCTAATTAAGTCTCTAATAAATTCTTCAATTTATAAACAATCTAATTAAGTCATAAATACATAAATCATAAATTGTTAGTTTAAAAGTTTTTAAATCTTTTTTAAAAAGCATATTTTCGATGAATATATATTTTATCTAAATGATTAGATAGTTTGTATAACTTTGATAATAATATGCATATTTCAAATAAGATTAAAATTAATCAAATTAAATTTTAATATCGGAATTTTCTTTTATCGTAGCTAAAATTGAAATATACTCAATGGATAAGTCAGAGGTCATTTGATGGCTAAGTCTGAGGTCACTTTTTCTCGCTACAGTGATGTTTAACAATGGTCATCATCGATTGTTACAGTAGTAGTAGAAAGTTGGATGAGAGTAATTTCAAAATATCACAAAAGTTTATCTTTGCAAATAAGATTTAGCAAAGCTTATGAAAAATCAAAAGAAGAGCCAATCCCTCTTCGTATACTTTTTTAAGGCCTTTTTTTGAATACTATTTAAAATTGGATTCTATTAATTTTGATCTTATTTTCTTTGCTTTCTAGAAGCCAACTGAAAATGCTATAATTTAAAAATTTCAATATACTTCCTCATATAGGTAGTTTAAACAGGTGGACAGGTTAATAGATGGAGAGATTCATACAATTATCTGTTAATTCTTGATCTTATTTTCTTTGCTTTCTAGAAGCCAACTGAAAATGCTATAATTTAAAAATTTCAATATACTTTCTCATATAGGTAGTTTAAACAGGTGGATAGGTTAATAGATGGAGAGATATAAAAACGTATATTTCTTTCGTTTGTTAACAAAGAAATTCCTGAAGGAAAAGATTATTTTGTGGAATAAAAATTTTTTCAAATTGTGAATTTAAAAATTTCACAGTGGAAATATTCAATTTTGAAATATCAATGGCTAAATGAAAATTAAAATTTCAATTTCGATTTAATTTATATGTTTTCATCAAAAATCAATGATAATATCTCATCTCTAAGCTAATCAAATATCTATCTGTATTGCATTCTAGCTATCGTCAAAATTAGTTAAATAAAATGAACTTATCGGTAGAGCGACTGGATTTCTTAGCGTTGTTGTTGTGGTCTGTAAATGATCATGAGTGGTAATTGCTTGATTTGCTATTAAATTGGTAAGTAAGGTTGGCGTTTTGGCGTGGAATAAAACATTGTTGGTATCCTTTGATAAATTATTCAAATCTTCCTTTACATCCTGAGATTCATCAATACAATCGTTTATCATTGTGATGTGTTTATTTGATGGATAAGTTTGATCCGTTAATCCAAAAATCACACCAAGTTGATTGTTCTGCGCAATTGTTTGTGCAACAGAAAATAATGATGGTATAATGAGAAGTAAATTGCTAAGTCGTACCGAAGTATCACCAGGTGATAAAATTTGCTTAATATATGTGAATAAGGCACGTAAAACACCATCACGTGCTTCACGTAACTTCTCACGTGAAGTAATAGTTAATCCTGTTATATCCGGATGTAGCAATACCAAAGCTTTTAATGCCGAAACTTCTGCCTTCTCAACATTTATACGACGAAGCGGAGTTAAAAGTTCATCCATGATACGACTTACAATAGCAACGAGATCGGGATAATGAAATGGTGTAAGGGTCAAGAGTGTATCATTAGGTAGTACAATATGAGTAGAAGAGAGTGAACGTTGAACGGTATGTAGAAGCGAAAATGCTTGTGAGCAATGTTTTAGTAATAATACCTGAAAATTTTTGCAAAATAATTAATAATAGAAAGGTAACAAAATAACCATTAATAGAAAGATAAATAATCATTAATAGAAAGATATAAATGATAAGAAAAATTTATAAAATAAATAAATCCAATAACCTTATCGGTGAATGGTAGCTCAGGAATTGGATGTAATAGATTAGCCCAACCGATCATTAGTGATATACTTCGTTGTCGTGAATTATTCTCTTGTCCTTCACCGCCAAGAATATTATTGATATTCTGATTTCCTTGAAGTCTACTTTCAATATCCACAATCATTTCTACAAGACGACGTGATGCTGCTGTCGTTGCTTCATCCTCACTATAGCGTCGCTCATTACGTGCTGATGATGGTGAATCATCTATAAGTTAATTCTGAATGATAATATCTGTATGATAATTTTTTACTTTAAATATTTATCTTTTAGAATACCTAAGATATGTAAGTACTACGAATAATTTTTGCTTTAGTTATTTATACTTTAGAATATGTAAGATAGTAGTAAGAATGGATATGTGAATTCTTGGATAATTCTAAGAGGGATAATGATGATACTTACCCGAATCACTGTTACCATCACCGCTTGTTGATGTTGGTTGTAGATGAGCTGGTAAACTTCTTTTACGATTTCGTTTTGTGCTACCGATACGATCTCGTTCATTTTGAATTGCTAAAATAAATTCTACAATTGCCATGATAGAATTTTTTCTCTCATACAACAAAAATACAATCATCTCATCTACCTTTTCTTTCCCCTTTATTACATTTATTATTGATTGGGTCAAAGTTCAGCTGATTTATATTGTGATTGCTAAAATATTTTTATTTAAATATAATTGAAATGATTTCAAAGTAATCAAATTGAATGAGAAATATTTCTTTTTAATTTATTAAAATGAATGCTTTGAAATTAATAATATATTATCAAAGTAATAACTTTTGAAAATATTCTAATAAAGCAAGCATTTATTGCATTTCGATCATTGGGACATAAGTTAAAAGTATTGTAAGATAGTTAAAATTAGATTTTAACCCCGTGATAATATATTAGATAGGCAAAAATAAACGTGAAAGACTTGCAAAGGTGAGGTTTATTGCAGGTAAGTTCTATATCTTCGAAAATTTTAGCAATTAAAAGCTGAAAAATATCATAGGCTTTATTCGATAAACGTATAAAAATGTGTCCATTTTTACCTTCCGGTTTCATTCCATCCGCTAAACATTTCTGGAAACGACAATATCGGCATGCATTTCGATGATCTTTATCAATATTACATTGCTTGCTAAATCGACATGTGTACTGCAGATTTTGCCAAACGCTATAAAATGGTAATTTGTATGGGAGTGGAAATGAAATTTGAAATGCATTACTTATTACAGTAGAAATCAAATCAAATAACAATTCGCTGTATCATGATAGATTGGACACTTCACATATGAAATAAGAATAGCTAAATTTCAAATTCAAAAATTTTACGAGAATGTAAATGAGAAATTTCTTTAGGCTTCAATTAGCTTATATCATTAATCGAACCTTTCAGAGATTATCATTTGTTCTGAAATTTGAAATCAATCTTTAACAGATAAAATTGCCAGAAATAGATTTAAAAGTTTTTGTTATATCTTATTGAGAATCTGAAAGTAACAATTATAGGTGCATTTCACCTACAATTGTTTCTTTCAGATTCTCAGTAATTAAAAAATTTTTGTCTTTTAAATTAAAAAATTCCGAGTATTTCTATAATGCGGAAAATTCGACAATTTCGAATATTTGAAGAATTTTCCAAACATTAATTACTTTAATAAACCAATTGAAATGGTCACTTCTGTTTTCTCACACTTTATTTCGCAGCTTTTTTTTCAATTCGCAATATTATTTTGCGAATTATTTGCGAATTGAAGAATTGGTAAATTGCGAATGATCACAAATATCACGATAAAAAAACCATCTTATGTGGTAACATATATGATTTTTATTGCGAATGATTTGCAATAAATGAATCAAATGATTGAAATGTCAGATTGAAGTTCAACACTTCAAAAACAAATTATCATTGTCAGACATACAGGTAGAGACAAAAGAATTCATTGGAGGCAGCAAATGACGTTTGTGTTGAATACCGGTTATAAAGAAAGATGAACACTTTGTGACTAATAATTGAATTTGATGATATAAGTTATTGAAAATAGAATACCTTCTACGAAAGAATCCTTTACATCCGTTGCAAGCAACTGCACCATAATGTTTCCCGATAGCTTTATCACCACATACAACACAAAAATCTGTTGGATCGCTAGCGGCTGTTGATGTTGCACCGCTACTTTGACTTGTTAATATATCCATTATGAAGAAAACTTTTTTTTTTCAAGTGAAGATTTTGAATTAAAAATTTTTTGAATGTGAAATTGATCGAAATCTCTTCCAACAACTGAAATTAATAGAAATGTATTGTTTCATAAAATTCTTTTATAATTTATATTAATTACGTGAACTATATGATGAAAAATAATTATTGATTAAATTAATTATTGATTAAATTAAGAAAGATAACAATTTCTACTAATCATTAATTATCATTCATAGTAAAATATATACAAATAATAATTATAAAAAATCATTTTTATTTTTATGTAAATTCTCTCTCAAATGTTTCTTATAGTTTTTCTCTGGGAAAATTCGAAAAGTTTTAATTGAAATCAAAACTTTAAATATATTTTCAGTTAGAGATTTATTTTTTAAAAAAAAAAAAGAATGTATTAAATTTAATTTCTTTCGCTAAAATGAAGTAGGAAAATTCATATTTGAAATAATAAACTAAATAACTTAAATAATCAATTGAAATGATATACTAAATAACTTGAATAATCATTTGAAATAATAAACTAAATAGCTTAAATAATCAATTTATTTAATTTGAATATACTCAAATATATAATTTGCACATAATGTTAAATTCAATTTCTTTCGTTAAATGAAGTAGAAAAATTCATATTTGTAATAATGAACTGAATAACTGAAATAATCAATTGAAGCAATATACTAAATAACTTAAATAATCAATTGAAGCAATATACTAAATAACTTAAATAATCAATTGAAATAATAAACTAAATAACTTAAATAATCAATTGAAGTAATATACTAAATAACTTAAATAATCATTTGAAATAGTATACTAAATAACTTAAATAGTCAATTTGAAGTAATATACTAAATAACTTAAATAATCAATTGAAATAATAAACTAAACTAACTTAAATAATCAATTTACTCAATTTGAATATACTCAAATATATAATTTCCATATAAAATTGTAAACAATTAATGTAAATGATAAAATGGCATAATAGTAATTGATAACAGAAATATTTATTGTTTAATTTATCATTTGATATTTTGTCGGAGCAAAATGTAAATGTTAAATGGTAAAGAATGAAAATAAGTAGAAGGCGAACATTACGAATACGTTAATACAATTGAAAAAGGTGAATTGTTTTGTTGTCCTTTATATTATTCCATTACTGGCAACAAATTTCCCGAAAATACGGTATTAACAAGTGGAACTGTGACAGTTACAATTGAATGAATTATAATGTTACGCTTTCAGGTAGGATATCGATCTCTCTTTTAGTAATTAATCATAATAATATCATAAGTAATAATATGGTAGGAAATCTATCGCTCTTATTGTAATTAATCATTATAATATCATAGTTTTAAAATAACATGAAGAGTTATTTTTTTTTCTCTCCTCATATTATATTTAAATTAAAATTTCAAAATATGATAATAAATAATTTCAGCATATATTTATAATATATTATTGACAGCTATATTATTATTGTTGAATAATTCAAAAAGGGAAAATTCAGACTTATTTTATCTCTTCCATTTTATTATGCAATAAATATTGATAAATTATGAACGAAAAAAAAGAAATAATTTTTGAATAAATTCTTTAAGAAAGTAATCATGTAAATGATATGATATGATATGATATGATAAAATTATCAAATAAATACTATTATCTAAATTCATGTAAAAAATTAAATGATTTTTGAGTAATTCAATTCAAATAGTTTCATATCATATTGAATAATTTAAGATTTGAGTTTTGGTAAAAAAAATTTGATTAAATCATTGATTGTTGAATTTTCTTCTTTTCTTCAAATATCGATGTATTGAATCATTTGAAAATTATTTGAATTATATGAAAAAGATGAAATTACTCTATTGCATTAGCGAAAAACCCAATAATTAAATTCCTATTTTTAATTAACATTAATTAACATATATATATGTGTAATCATATTACTTCAAAAATATAATGATAACAGTTCAAACTTTGCAAAATTAAGAATTTAGGAATTTTCAATTGTTGAAAAAAAATTCATCAACAATGAATCATCAATATTTCGGATAAATGATAAATGATAAATGATAACAAAAAATATATATATATGTGATATAATAGTATAAAATGGACAAAAGAATAAATAAATATAAGAGTGCAAAAGATATATGTAAATAAAAAATAATTGTTAAAGTGTTATTTGCAAGATAGAAATGAAAAATTAGAATTTCTTTCTTTCTTTCTTTCTTTCTTTCTCTCTTTCTTTCTTTCTTTTCTGTTTTTGTTGAAAGAGAGAAATGATGAGGAAATGATATATATATGAAAAAATATCTTTGACTGTTTCATATCACAACATTGATGGAAATTATAAATGCAGTATCAGGTATATATGTTATATGAGATGATTTGTATTGTGTGGAAATTCATTCCTCAAAAATGATTCAACAATTTCTCTTTTTAAAGAATTCCTTTATTTTTATTTTTAAGGGATACGGTTATGATTGGTTTTGTTGAAAAATTGAAAAATGATGAAATGAAACGTAAAATTGAATTTGTTTTTTGTAGATCAATAAAAAAATTCATTAGAAGTATTTGTTTTTTTTTTATGAAAGAATAATTAAATCATTATTTAATTAATATTAAAATTAATCGTACTTTTTGAATAATTTTTTAATGAACAAAATTAAACAGGTATGTTTCACATGTACTATTGACTCATAGGTTAGTGACGTATTTTGGATGTAATTTTTGAAAGATTCGAATTGACACCAATTCATATATGATGATGATGATGATAATAGTAATAATAATGATGATGATAATGATGATGATGATGATGATGATGATGATGATAATGATGATGAAAGATTCCAATTGACACTAATTCATATATGATGATGATGATGATGATGATGATAATAATGATGATGATGATAATGATGATGATGATGATGATGATGATGATGATGATGATGATGATGATGATGATGATAATGATGATGAAAGATTCCAATTGACACTAATTCATATATCATGATGATGATTATAATGATGATAGTGATGAAAGATTCGATTTGACACTAATTCATATATCATGATGATGATGATGATGATTATGATGGTGATAATAATGATGATGGTGATGAAAGATTCGAATTGACACCAGTTCATGTATCATGATGGTGATGATTATGATAGTGATAATGATGATGATGATAATGATGATAATTATAATGGTAATGATGACGATGATAATAATGATGGGAATCATTGTTGTTGATAGTATCGGATTATAATCGAACAGAAAAGGATATGTATTCAACGGAAGAAAAAAATACCTTCCTACCACAAAGATCAATAATTTTGGATGATGTCGTAGCATTTTTTCTTTTCTTTATTTTAAATTCTCTACTACATATTTTTTGTTGTTACTGTTGTTAAATATCGATCAAATTAAGTGTGAATCATTTTCATACAAATTAATCACTGTTCATTTGTTTTAAATTTTTTTTTTTCAAATTTAAATGACTAATTGATGAAATTTAAAATAAAAAAATATAATTTAAAACAGATATATCTGATAATTGAACAATCTGAAATATATCCGAATCGCATATAGTATGTATCGTTTTAATTTGATTCAATTCATCAACGTTCAACAATTTAACAATTCAATGCAAAAATCAGAATCCAAAATTATTGAGAATCATCATTTCATTAATAAAAAGTTACGATGGTTAATTTTCATTATATGCTAGCTATTTTACAGATAACTTAGCTGAATGTAATCAGAATCCAAAATTATTCACAATCATCATTTCATTAATAAAAAGTTACGATGGTTAATTTTCATTATATGCTAGCTATTTTACAGATAACTTAGCTGAATGTAATCAGAATCCAAAATTATTCACAATCATCATTTCATTAATAAAAAGTTACGATGGTTAATTTTCATTATATGCTAGCTATTTTACAGATAACTTAGCTGAATGTAATCAGAATCCAAAATTATTCACAATCATCATTTCATTAATAAAAAGTTACGATGGTTAATTTTTATTATATGCTAGCTATTTTACAGATAACTTGGCTGAATGTAATTCTTATTTCAATATTAAATTTGCATTTTGCAAAATATGACTATAATTGTATTAAAAAAAAAAGAAAGAAAGAAAAGGGTGTCAACTATATTATGCACACATAATGCTTTATTCATCCATTTAATTTGCAGATATTATAAGCGCAAATAATTTTCCTCTCTAGCTAGCATTGCAAAAAAAACCCCATTAAATTGGCTATTAATTTTAATCTATATTTCAAATTTTCCTTTTAACTATTTGAAGCATAAAATAGGTTTAGCAAAACTAATTATTGCTTTCTTTTACTAATGAATTGTTTCGTTAATGATCGATCGATTAGAATGAATGTGAATTGATGAATTTTGAAAAGATTTTTCTTTTTTCAACAACGAACAACAAGCAAGATAAATTGAGAAATTTCAACATCTATCTTATTTATCGCCAAAAACAAAAAAAGAAGGGACAAAAAAATTGGTTCAATTTTATTTTAATTTCATAAGATCGATGATAAGCAAACTTCTTTTTTCAACTTCTTCTTAATAATACTCAAGTTTGCAACTTTAAATTATGCAAAAAAAAGAGTTATATCAAAAAATAAAAATAGCTTTTCTTATAGTTCAGTTAATGGAATATCATCATCATCATCATCATTATCATCATCATCATCATCATCATCATCATCATCATCCTACGAATTGCTTTATTTCCATTTTTATGATCGATTTTTCGACATTGTCGTAAACACACACACACATATATATATATATTTACAAAAGATCAACTCACAGATACGTTTTACGGAGTGACTGATTAATTTGTTATAATGTTAAATGAAAAAAAAAAAATGAAATGAAATGAAATGTAAAATAAGATTGCCAAGTTATCATCGATTGATTTAGCATTTTGGG